CTCCCACTGCTTTGTTAATTTTTCTTGGGTCTTATTTCGTGCCATTTGTTTGGTTCTCTTTGCATATTTGGTGGTTGTTTCTTCTGCCTGTTTATCTGGTATTGTTAGGTCTAGTTCTTGTTTGAATTGTTCTGCTTGCCTTTGTATAGAGTACAGTTTCTTTCTGCCATCATGTTCTTGCACTAGTTCGATTAGGGCTTATTATTATTATTATTATTATTATTATTATTATTATTATTATTATTATTATTATTATTATTATTATTATTATTATTATTATTATTATTATTACAGGCAGGCAAAACCTTTTGAACTGAATTTCTTTTTAATAAAACCTTTCCACTAGATGATCAAACCGGGTACGCAAAATCATCCTCATAGCCAGTCAATTTTCCCAGTCCCCGCATACAAGCCAAGGAGCCCATCAGGCTGGAGCTTATCCCAGTTTTTATAGCATGAAGCAACCAGGAGTATTTCTGCTCCCCCCTAGATGGGATGCTAGTCCATTGTAGGGTTATCCCAGGCATCATAGGTCACCAGTACCCGATTATACACCTGGGTGGAGAGAGGCACGGTGAGAGTTAAGTGTCTGGCCTAAGAACACAACACAATGTCCCCGGCCAGGGCTTGAACCCGGACCACTCGATCTGGAGTTAAGTGCACTAAGCATGAGGCCACCACACCTCCAAATTTTCCCCGTGCCCAACCCTAAAGAAACCCCTGAACAAGCAAGACAAATACAATGAACAAACTAGCTTTTATGTAGGCTTTGCATTAAAACACACAAAACATACTGTGAACCTGATGCCCACCGACTGGGCAGTATAACAAAAAATATTTTTTTTAGCCCAATCAGAAGCCAGCATTCACCAGACTAATTGGAACTGGTGCTGTTAAAAGGAACTCCCCACCCCCTTACAAAAAAGACTCACTCCCAAGCCCAGGCACCTTGCCCTCACTCCAAATTTTAATCCTGATAGTAAGACATTTTGGGGAACTAGTAAGAATGATTTTTGGGCTAGTACATCATAGTTGTTGTTGGGAGGGACGGTGACCTCATGGTTAGTGCGCTCGTCTCCGAATTGAGCGGTCCAGGTTCGAGCCCTGGCTGGGGACATTGTGTTATGTACTTCGGCAAGATACTTTACTTTCACAGTGCCTCTCTCTACCCAGGTTGATAACTGGGTACTGGCGAACTTAATGCTGGGGTAACCCTGCGATGGACTAGCATCCCATCCAGGGGGGAGTAGAAATACTCCTAGTCACTTCATGCTACAGAAACCGGGATAAGCTCTGACCTGATGGGCCACTTGGCTCGTATACAGACTTCACCTGCCTTACATCATAGTTACAGCTTGGCTTTTTTTTTGCACTCTGGCACCTACAAGGCACGTGCAAACTATCTCACTCCTGACTCTGTAATCATTATGTAATCATGTTATCTCTTTTTCCGCTTGCTCATTTAACTGAGCACAGCCAGAAGATAGTGAAATTTACAGCTCATTCTTGTTGCTTTAATAACGAAAAAAAGACCTGCTCTGTCATTTTAGTAAGGAACAACACTATATTTCGAATTGACCAAGCGTGAAATCTTGCAGGTGCAAGATGACAGCTTATTAAATTATTCACACTTGTTTTTACTGGCGTCTCAAAGTGAGCTTGCTATCAAACTATGAAGTGATAGCATACCAGAGTTTATGTACAAGGACATGGCTTTTATGACACCTTACCTCCGAAAAGGAACAGATGGTCGCGATCGGATGAGAGCTCGAATGACTGTTTGTGCTCTAGCACCAAAACACCAAATTGTTGGCCAATAATGTTCTGTCACAATCGGGCAACTTTGGAGAATGAATTCTCGAAAACGACCATCCTTGCCGATTAACCGAGGCTTTTGAACGACGTGAAACAAGTAGTATGTGATGTAGATTACGAAAAGAACTGTCAGGAGAGGTAACCACTGCCACTGATAAAGAATATCTAAAAACTCTTGGACAGAAGTCATCTTGACAATCTACTTGCAATCCATTTGATGCGGAAAGCTGCGAATGAACGGACTTTGACTTTAGTAATGCCCAGCGAGTCACGTGCATCACGTTCCGAAACGACCGAGGTAGACGGGAAGGGAGACTGGAACATGGTATGAGTTGAAAAAACAATGGTGGATGTTGAGATTTCCTTGAATATTCTTCGTAGTTTACGGTGATCTACAACGAAAAACGACGATTTAGAATTTTAGAATATTGTCTTTAACGATGACTGACTTATTCAATCATTACGAGCAACAGTTTGGCAATATTAGCGCAGAAATCACCGCAAGGATATGCAAGATTCCCAATCTTCACGGATGTCAGTTTGGCGATCAATTTCAATAGACTTTAATTTGTCATTTTCGGTCGTTTTCCACTGTTGGCATATTCTAACTCCGTTAATATTGAAAAAAAAGTTTTATTTTATTTGCAGCTGCCAAACAAAGCGCGGTCAGTGATGTGGAAAGATGTTTCGACGAAGCTAGAGAATTGGTAAGGGAAAACTTGCTTTATTGTGTCAAAATTGATGGAAATCCAATTACCATAAGTTCGAATTGATCTTCTTGGAGTGTGTTATTCAGTTCTCTTTAATACCCCTTTTTAATCCTGTATTTTCGAATTTTTTTTTCTGTCGCAGAAGAGCAATTTTTAATTTTAGAATTTCGAAATTCCAGACTCAAAAAATGCCCAAAATTTGCATCTGTCAGAAGACAGCTTTTTATANGTGAATGATTTCAAAATCTGCTGAGCTTACAGCATGATAACTTTCTTAGTCAAATCTATCACAAAATTCTCAATTCTGATTAGTTCCCATTGCACCACTTTTTTGTGAGTTAAGCTAGTAAGGTCCTATTTCTATTTAGTTCATAATAAAAGAATTCTATAAGATCTTACAGGATTCTATATAGTGTTTGAAACAGGGTGTACTGTACACACCCTTTGATCTTACAATGAGTGATAAAAACCTGTTTAGAGACTTTTAAGTTTCTAACTTGCCTTGGTTTATTGTATCATCCATGATATTCTACATAGAGGGCCAGATTGTTGGACAATACTGAAAGAGTGGAACGGTCTGGAAGACAACTAGAGGAAGGTTATAAAATGTGTGTGGAGACAGGTAAGGCTGTTGTAGATGCGAATGTTGGATTTTACCTTGGTGCTGTTCTTCTGTATCTTTTCATGCAATATTTCGAAATTTACATTCACATTTCACACCTCATACCTCACACCTCACACTTTACACCTTACACTTTGCATTTCACATTTCTCAATTCATATTTCAGACACTTACTATTTTGGGCTTTACACTTCACATTTCAAGTTTCACATTTTATACTTAGATGCTGTGTAATACTAAATTTAAACTCATTGCCATACATTAGTGTGATCAAATTTCTGTCTCAAGCCAGAAACTTGTACTTTCAGCTTCTGAAGTGCATGACTTTTATTGTTATTTCAGAACAAATAGGAGTTGACATTATGAATAATTTACACAGAGACAGAGAAGTCATAGAGCGAGCAAGAGAAAGAGTAAGTCCTCTAGGATTAATTTTAACTGGAATCAGAATGTCAGAAAATATTAGTCTGATTCAAAGTTGAGTTAAATTGCTATCAGTATTCATTTTTTCATTGTCCTTGCAGACAAGGGGAACCGACAAGAACCTGTCAAAAAGCTCAAGGATTTTAACAGGAATGATGAGAAGGTACACATATGCATATTACTTCATGCTTATCCTTTGTCTCTCTGAAGTAGGTAAATTCTGCACATGAGCCAAGTGGCCCATCAGGCTGGAGCTTATCCTGGTTTCTGTAGCATGAAGTGACTAGGAATGTTTCTACTCTCCCTGGATGAGATGCTAGTCCATTGCAAGGTTACCTCCAGCATTAAATTTGCTGCTACCCATTTGTACACCTGAGAGGCACTGTGAGAGTTAAGTGTCTTGCCCAAGAACACAACACAATGTACCCTGGCCAGAGCTCAAACTCGGACTGCTCGATCTGGAGTTGAGCCACCGTGCCCCACTATCTCTGTGGTACTCTTCTGTTAATTCTGCTGACATTGTTGGGTTTAGACATTTTGAAAGCTTTAGCACACACTTGGGATGTTTTTTTTTTCAGATGGGCAAATTTGTTTTTTACTTGAACTGCTCATTATTTACCATATGTAATAATATTTTTATTTGACATATTTTCAGGATAATCCAGAACAGGATAATAATGGCTGTCATTTGCCTTGCGATACTGGGAGTTATTGGACTTATCATATACTATGCTGTCAAATAATGTCAGTCAGTCATATTCACCTGTTATAATCACATCTTTGCCAATTAATTTGATGTATAGTAAATTGACTGAGTTTGGTCACAAACAACAACTGATATTGCAAGAATGAAGAAACCAAGTTGATTCCATTACATTCTACTCTAACTATGTTATTATGACGGGTTGCTCCAGAAATATCCTGGCAGGGCCTTTTCTTGGAGGGTTAAACCAGGGTTGTAGCTAAGATAATAGTCTCCCGGCTAAGATTTTCATTGAGCCAGTCACCGTTTTTCATGAGAGACCTGAAACAAAATTTTTGTCCCCAATCTTTTGCAACATCTTGAATGTGGGGCTACCAAGCTTTGTGTTTACAAGATGGCAGAGGCAGTACACAGAAAGAGAACATGCTAAACAAGCGCTCAAAACAAGATTTTATTTCAATTGCTTTACCCATCGTAGTGGCACAGATACTCAAGGTAGTCAGGAATTCATTCAACACTTTTCATTTAGACGCTTCAATATGGTTCAGATATCCAATGATTGTACGTATGTAACCTAAAAACCATTTGTTGTCCTGTACCGAGTGATCGCCCACCAAAATCTAGCTGGCAATCACCTCTTTCTCAGCCGGCGAATTTCGCTGGCAGCCAGCGCTTAGCTATGACCCTGGTTAAACTCCCATCCTACCCCTGTCAAAATACTTTAGGAAATATCCACACCCCTCTCAGGGAATCTTTGGAGTGTTAAAACTCCCATTGCACCCCTCTCAAGATTCCCATTACCCATCTCTTCCTTGGAGATTCCAATAACCATTTTGGAGCGGGTATGGATATTTCCTTGAAATGTGCAATTCAGTAGATATTTCCTATAGCTCAGTTGCCCTAAACATGTGATAAGCCAAAGATGGGAGTTATGTTTTACCAAAATTCACATCTTGTGCATAAATTGTTCAATTGAATAGAACTTAATGTTTTGAACAAACTAGCATAATATTAACAGAATTATCATTAATTACTATATTACACAGCTTTGGCGAGATCTCACAAACAGGAAGGCATGAAAATATTGATAGAAAATAATTCCACTTGTCTCCCCACTAGTTGTCAGAAAATTTCTGACAGGTAACATACAAGGGCAAACATCTGTGTATATTTAATATACACAGATGTTTGTCCTGGTATGTCACCTGTTTCCTACAATTCACAAGTTTGAGAGTGACTTCATAGAACAGATAATGTTCATGAACAAAACCTGAGGGTATTTCCCGGCTTTTTGCAATAATATGCATAAGTTCAAGCAATCTTTAATATCTGCACTATTTGGTGTCAAAATTATTTTAAATATCGTGTAACTTTGATCTGAGAATTATGCCAAGTCTACATATCAATTATTCCATGATCGTGTGTTGGATATGAGATGATAGATAGCCAATGAGGTGCATAGCACTGAGTTAGCTGTAATCATCTCATATCCAACAAGCGCAAGTGGAATAATTGTTTTATTAAAAACGCCTCCAAATTACAGAAAACTAGACTAAAATAACGCTAAAAACGGCAGAAAAATTGCACGTAGGCTTACTATGTTTGCAGAGCATGGTGTAATGGCTCATAACCCATGATGGCTAAGCCAATGAAAACTCTCAAATTACATTATCTAATGATCCGGTTTTTAACAAATATTATTATCCAACTCCAGTCAGTCAGGTTCAAATAATGAAATTTATTTAGTGGAATTATATATTAGATTTATATGTAGGATAAGCAAGTTATTTATGCTTGCTTTGGTCTTGATTCCCTGAAAGTTTTGTTGTTTCACTGGCTAACTTAGGCTTAGTTACCATTACCTTCCTACGCAGAACTCCTTCATGACTTCACAGGAGGCTAGGTTACTAAGTGCTGTTCATTCTTGTCACCAGAGGCTGCCATCTTTTTTGGTCAGCATCAAAAATCGCGACCTCTGGATGCTGGGTGGGTCTAACAATCTTGTTCCAGAAGCTCCAACAAGGAACCATCCACACCACGCCGGAGGAATTTGAAAACGCTTTATTTCTACCGTTAGGCCTACCGTCCACACTAGTCCATCAGGAAAACGGACCTTTTCGAAAACGCTCTTTAAACCGGAAGGATTTGAAAAAACGCCCGCTTTGCGTTTTAGTGTGGACGGTAAACATTCTGAAAAAAGAAGCTTTTGGAAGACGATCGCGCGGGATAATCACGTGATTTCCCTGCCCGAGTGTTCCTC